TATTTAATATAGGTTGACGCGACAGATTCTTATATATTATAAAAATATTTCTTGTAAATATTTATTTGACATTTAAATCAAATATTTATTGTTTGTATATGTATTTATTGTATGTATTTGCTTCATGCTAATTAACTATTAGAAACAAATATTTTCTAAATAACATTTAACTAATATTTAAGAAATATTTCTTTTTATTTTGAAATTTTTACCGTTAATTGACCAATGAAAATTGAGATAATATGTTATAAAGTTTGTTCACACATACAGTGGTGTCATATATAGACACAAAAAGTACTACGTACTAAGAAAACCTATTATTATTTTATTTATTTCATGTTAATTAAATATTAGAAACAAATATTTTTTATAGAATGTTTAAATCACATGTAAAAAATATTTCTTTTTGCTCTGAAATATTTTCTATTTACTGATCAATGAAAACTCAGATCATAAGTTCTAAAGTTTATTCATATTTATTAAAAATATAATATTAGTAACTTTTTGGGCGTTAGTGGTGTCATATATAGACACAAAAAGTATTACGTACTAGGAAAAACTATTTTTATTTTATTTGTTTCATGCTATTTAAATATTTGCTATTCATTGATCAATGAAAATTCATATAATATCTTATAAAGTTTGTGCCCACTTATTAAAATAATATATTAGTAACTTTTTGCGTGTTAGTAGTGTTATATATAGACACAAAAAGTATTAGGTACTAAAAAAAACTATTATTATTTTATTTGTTTCATGCTAATTAAATATTAGAAACAAATATTTTCTAAATAACATTTAACTAATATTTAAGAAATATTTCTTTTTGCTTTGAAATATTTACCGTTAATTGACCAATGAAAATTGAAATATTATGTTCTAAAGTTTGTTCCCACTTATTAAAATAATATATTAGTAACTTTTTGCGTGTTAGTGGTGTTATATATAGACTCAAAAAGTATTACGTACTAAAAAAATCTATTATTATTCTATTTATTTCATGCTAATTAAATATTAGAAACAAAAACAACAGAAATAGAAATATTTTCTAAATAACGTTTAAATAATATTTAAAAAATATTTCCTTTTGCTCTGAAATATTTGCTATTCATGAAAATTCAGATAATATGTTCTAAAGTTTGTTCACATTTATTAAAAATAATATATTAGTAACTTTTTGGGTGTT